GATGGAATTCGGAGGAGGCCTAGTCTGTGGGATCTAATTGGTCTAGTGGAGGTAATTGGCAGCAGGCGTGATGCTTATGTAGAACCAGGCATTTTTAGGCAACTTTTTTTGTACACAGATATGCAATCTTTTGGTAGGATGTTAACAATGCACTAACTAGCTTGTCCTTACAAGCTATAAGTATTCTATAAGACATGTACTTATAGCCTAAAGATTATAAACCAAATATTGACAAATTGCTTTATTTATGTATATGTATCCTGCCTTTATTATTTAAAGGTAATACGGTAAAAAACAAATTTAACCCAGCTGAAATTGCTATTAAAGCACCATGAGAAACTACATGGCATAGTCACAGAAAATATCAAACAATATTCGGAAAAGTTTTATGTATAGATTGTACCTCAAACTGATACTGCTAGGTAGTACTTACAGCAATATATCACCAATGTGTTGGCAGGAATGTGGAGAAACTGGATGATATTTCCATGTGTGGTAGAGGGGAGAAATTCTGGACACATCTCTATAACACATGCAGCAGTAGACTGTAAGTCAAATCTGTATCTGCTATTTTTAAGAGCAGATAAGGATGTCCTACTTAAGGAAGCTTTCAGCTGAATATAAGATAAAGACGCTTTTGAGTCTGGTGACCAAATGGGTATGTCTACATACTTTTCTTGGCAACAATAAGGAAATAATTTCTCTTCATATTTTCATGTTTACAATACTTTTCTAAGGGCGGAACGGAACCTCCTTTCGATTTGGGCAGAACATATCTCCGACGTGGAAATTCAGCAGGCGGACTGGCTCAGCAGGGAGACAGTAGACCACGGAGAGTGGCAGCTTCATCCCAGCACCTTCAAACGGATTTGCCAGAGATTCAGTCGGCCAACAGTAGATCTCTTCACCTCCTTGTCGAGCGCCCAGCTTCCGAGGTTCATCTCGTGGTTCCTGACTCGAGGAGCGGTGGACATCGATGCCCTGCACTGCAGATAGCCGTCGGGACTTCTCTACGCCTTCCCCCCTTTCCTGGGGTTTTGAGGAAGCTATTGCTAAAGAGGGCAGAGATCATCCTGGTGGCCCCCTATTGGCCCCAGCGCCCCTGGTTCGCAGATCTAGTGGAGATGTCGACTCTTCCACATTGGAGGATTCCACAGGAGGAGGTGGCCCTGCACCAGAGCAGCCTGGAGCACCCAGATCCAGGATGGCTCCATCTAACCATTTGGCGCTTCAGTGGGAGCAACTAAGGGAGGCCCAATTCTCTGCCAGGGTCATCAGAACCATTGAGGTGGCCAGAAGAAGATCCACCACCCGCATCTATGATGCAACCTGGACCTCCTTTGTGACCTGGTGCCAGTCTGCGCAGGTAGAACCGACATCAGCCTCTGTCCCTCAGGTGCTAGACTGTCTCCAGGATGGTTTGGAGAAAGGGCTGTCCCACAATACCCTCAGAAGGCAGACCTTAGCCTTAGCTTCGGTCCTTGGAGCGGTGGGTTCCCAATCCCTATCTCAGCACCCAGTCTTAAAGAGGTTCCTCAGAGGGGCAGTGAATCTCCGGCCTCCAGTGGTCCACCGTTTCCCCACCTGGGACCTCCCCATGGTCCTCCAGGCACTGACAGAGGCACTCTTCAAATCTCTGAGGGAGGTGAGCTTACAGTTTTTGACACTCAAGGTACCTCGTAGGAATTACCTTGGCGAGGAGAGTGTCCAAGCTCAATGCTCTGTCCACTAGGGCAGATCTCTGTACCTTTCACGACAACAGAGTTGTGCTCAGGTTGGATCCCACCTTCCTGCCGAAAATCAACTCCCCCTTCCATAGGGCTCAGGTGATAGTTCTACTGGACTTCACCACCATCAGTAGGTGGATTAGGCTAGCCATCTCCAAGGCCTACGAGGCGCTTGGGCTCCGGGTGGCAGAAGGCATCACCGCACACTCCACCAGTAGCACGGACACATCTGTGGCCTGGGCCACCCAGGCATCCATCAAGGATATTTGTAGAGTGGCCGCCTAGTCTTCGCCATCGCCCTTCATTAAACACTACCGCTTGGATGCCTATGCCTCCATGGAGGCATCCTTTGGTAGGAGGGTCCTTCAGGGAGTGCTGGACACTCAGGGGTCTCAGGCCCAATGATCCTTCCCATGGACATCTAGCTTTGGTATGTCCCATTGGTGACTCCTCCCATGCCCCACTTTGGAGACTGTAAGTTGGTCTTACCTGAACTGCATGTCTTGAAAGTGATGTGAGTCACTTCCCACCCGTTCAGTGCGCCCCTCCTCAGGAGGGGCCTGAGCTGGTTAGTTACTGGTCAGTCAGGGACCGGGGAGGGAGTTGGTGTGTTTTCCTGTCCCCTTCCTTCCCAGGTTCTGCTTCGACTGGACCATCAATTAATCTGGGGAGTCAGGAGGAGGAGGAGAGGGAGTGGCCTCAAATTCTACCTCAGTCTCAGGGCAAATGGGCTGTGTTAATACCCATTGGTGACTACTCCCACACCACCTTCGAGACATGCAGTTCAGGTAAGACCAGCCTACATTTTCTGGTTTAAAATGGTCTAAAAAGCACTATTTAAAAAGATCAGTCTTTTCAAAATTTTCTAAGTCTTGTGAAAAGTTGTACCTTCCTAAACAGAGAAGTTGCCTTTTAAATACAAATATTCTGTCCATCTCCCTGAAATTTGGCAGATATGATGTTTGTAGGACACCATCTAAAACCTGTAAATTTAATTTGATTAGAATTGAAAATGTCATGTTTCATGTAGCAAATAAAATGTAGTTCAAATTGCTTTTCAAATGTCAGAAACAGTAATTAATTAATTAACATTTTCTTGGCATATAGAACGATTAATGATCAGATTATTTACTGTATATCTTCTTTGGGAACTTATATTGTCCTACTTCCAAACCAGTCTGAAATAATTTATCGTAGAATTATATATGGAACCTATGTAATATAGGTTCCATGGGGATGGGATAGTAGGTATGATTACCTTGTTTCCTAACATATTATTTTTATTTTCTATTTCACCATGAAAACTGTTTATATTTCATTTCTTTAAAACAGATCAGTATTTCTTAGTGCAATGCATTTCTTTAGAACCCATTGTTAATCCCTCCTTATCTAAATGCCATTTTCCCCATCTGCTTCTGTTCAGAGCTGATACTTTGCTGGTTTAATTATTTGTTCACGTAGTTCTAATATTGCTACTGTACAAAATTAGGAAAGTTGAGGGCTATTTTAATGTGTGAATAGTTCATGAGATCATTCATCTAAAATAGCAAGCTATCTCATCATGCAGGTGTATGGAATGAGATGCTAGAACCTCTACTGCTCTTGTTAGAATTTTAAGCATTAATTCAAGGCATTTTGAAACCATATTTCCCGCAATGAGCTTTCGCCCCCAGAAACATAGCCTTTTCAGTGGAATTGTCAGCCTGGGCAAAATGTCCCTTCTCAAAGTGCTAACACTGTTCCCAGTTGTCTATTTATGTAGTTATATAAACAGATAACATTTCAAGCTCACTTGTTTTCTTGCAGACCTTTGATTACCTAAACTAGGTAACATCATCATCAGTGCTAGTGTTACCAGTTTGGGTAATGAAACGTCTGCAAGAAAACAAGCAAGCAATCAAGCTCAGAGAGCACCAAGAGCTCATATCAACCCTGAGCTACAAATATTCTCCTTTATGAGATAACACTTCTTCCAAGACTACCAGCAAGATGAAATGGTTGTGCATGAACACATTTGAACAGAAAGCTAGGAACACCCTTTGAACCAGTTGCACAAACCCTCCAAAGGATGTAGCTGCTTTAATACTTTAAGGAAGACTACTTCTTTCACACCCATAAACTTTGCAAAGCCCCTATTTCTAATATGTTGCACAGTTCTACATATGTAATCCTTAATGTCAGCACTTTTACTGTTCTATTACTCCTTGTTAATACAGCAGCAATCAAATGTCCTTCCATTTAGTTTTTTTCACCAATTATCAAGTAACATGCATATTCCATCTAAAAATAAAGACTATAACAGCTTTGTTTATATCTTATCTGATGGAGCAAACTGAATAACTCAAAAAATTACAGACTGCCTTTGAAACTAGAATGTGCCTAATATAGGCATTGATAATGAAATTATCATATATATATATACACACACACACACACACACATATATATATATATGTAGCTCTAATATCTAACATGTCTATATGTCACAGATATACGATTAATTTGAAATATCTCATAAACTGTTCTTTAAATCCTAGAAAATATGTATAAAATTAAAAGCAAGCAAAAGCACAGAAGTTTATTAAAGCACTAAATGCATGGACAGGACAAAATACCTGGTGAGCTCTTCCTTAATCTTCAGGGGTTCATGAGGGTAGAATTTCACTCTAAAGCACATGGTATATGGTGGATGAGCTGAAATATTATATAAAGAAAGCATGAGCACAGCTATATAAAACATGACTTATTGTGAGATGCAACTTGTGAGATGCAGTGCATTAAATTAAGAAGAAAAAAAGCAAATGATAAATAACAAAGCTCAAAATATGGCACAAAGTTCAAAGTATAAGGAGGCTAAAGCTTGTTAATGCAGAGATTTATATCACATTGTAATTTTTATTTGATTAGTTTATACAAAAATACTCCTAATTATTCTGTCTGTCTAGATTTAATACAAAAACCAGAGTTGGACAATGTAATTATCAACCCAGAACCCTGCATCCTAAACCTAAACAGGAATGCAACAGAAAAAGATTTCTGCAGCAAGGAAAGACACTGACTTTGCCACTAAAGAGAATTCAGGTAACATTCTAAATAATTTAATATTCATTGCAGCTTTTATTAAAACTATTAATTTTACATACTTTATCAATTACAGAATAGCAATTGATTCACCGTATCTGTTGATCAGTATCATTTTGAAAGTAGAAAAGTGTATCTTATAAAATATTATTTATATTATTTATTAACATGATTACTGCCATTTTATAACAATTTACAGATTGTTTATTCAATGGGAAATATATAACACTGTACCAATGATAATACAACCAGTATTTTGCAACATTGATAATGCAGCACTATGCATGTTTACTGAAAAATAATCTCACTTCCATAAAGATCAACCTTTATAAGTGTTACTAAAATCTTCACCACATTCATTCTAGTTGTACACTAGAAGTAGTCCTCATTTAGCAACCATAGTTGAGACTGGCAACCTGGTTGTTAAAATAAGCGGTCACTAAGTAGAACTGTGATCTTACTTCAGCTTTACTCTGCTTTATAGTTCTGTGAAGGTGAGGGCTGGACATGAAGTTACCTTTTTATCACTGTTGCAACTGCAAACAGTTGCTAAACACAGCAGTCATTAAATGAGGACAATCTGTACTAACTTTTGTGGTTAGTTGAGAAATAGTTAATCAGCTTTGTGATAGATAAACATTATTGCATCATTATTCATCAACATTTTGTTGTATAATTACCATGCTACTCTTTTTTTACCATAATGTGACATAGTACCCAGATTCTATTTATATGCCCAGGCCTAGATTTCTTTGCATGGGGGGGGGGGGGGGGATGTTGCCTTATGCATGGATCTCAACAGGGGGACAAAAAGGGACAAGTGATGTCATCATCAGCAAATACAGGAAGTCCTTGACTTAGAACAGTTTGTTTAGTGACCATTCGAAGTTACAACGGCACTGAAAAAAGGGATTTATGATCATTTTTCACATTTATGACTGTTGTAGCATCTTCTTGGTCGTATGATCAAAATTCAGACACTATTTTTGGTCTAATAAACATTATTCAAAACTTGCTTCTTTATTGATGCTTCCTCGGGTTTTTTTTTTTTTTAAACTATTTAAGATCCACTTGAATGCTGGATAGTTCTAAACCAAACAAAAGCCAATAAGTATCAAGGTACATAGAAACCTGCCTTGTATTATTTGCGTTAATTGCTCTCCAAGGATTTAGGCAGTGATCTATACTGTGGTTCTATACACCAGGAATAGAACTTGGGTTTTATTCAAGATTACCTTGTATTCTTTCACTGAATTACAACATTTTTACTTTTCTACAATTTGATACATAGTGTAAGCCTCACAAGAAATGAATTTTAAGCCAATTAAAATGAGAGATGAACAAACTAATATTGAATAGATGGAAAATTACAAGAAAGATATTCTAAACATTTTATTTATCCAATTGTATTCAAGACTTCTAAGTTTTAGCGTTTCACGTATTGCAATAACTTGTTATATTTGCACAATTTGTCTAAGGAATTATAACAACAAAATAGGTGGCCGTTTGAATTTTTTTTCTAAAATAAAAAGAGTAAGAAATGAAAGCGCAAAAGTAAAGTCAAGGATCACTAATGGAACTACAATGGCTCCAGGTTAGCAATAATTATGAGCATTTTTTGAACAGACAGGAAAGATAAATGAATCTGGTTATTCCAAATTCCAGTTTCTATTCAAGGAGTTATTGTAAAACTATTACAGGAACTGGGTATGTCTAGTTAAATGAAAAGGACTAGGGGAGACATGATAGCAGTGTTCCAATATCTCAGGGTTGCCACAAAGAAAAGGGAATCAAGCTATTCTCCAAAGCACCTGAAGGCAGGACAAGAAGCAATAGGTGGAAACTAATCAAGGAGAGAAGCAGCCTAAAACTAAGGAGAAATTTCCTGACAGTTACAATAATTAATCAGNAGGAAGGAAGGAAGGAAGGAAGGATTACTTCTCTATTTACCATGCTATATTTCTAATAAAGAAAGAAAATAGTATTAGAAGCATTACATTGTTAAAATGTCTGGCTTATAACATGTCTATTACAATTTATTTTTTATTTTTTAAAAACCATATACAATATGGGATTGTCATTATAGGAAAACACTAAGGAATGTATACCTTCTATTTCTGTCTACGCATTCAAATTGTGTTTTCTATTTTAAATAGAGATATATTATGCAGTTCAAAATAACTAAGAAATTTGCAAGAAGAAATCGTCATATGGTTGCTCAAAATGTCCTTAAAGCACCAGCAGTTATAGAAGGCTGATATTTTGAATAGAGGGACAGTGAGAAAAGGACTGTTTATCCTTTCTCCCTTAGGCTACTATTTGGAATCAGGGGAAAAAATGATGTGGGTATTTTGCCTCTGGCAGTTAGAAAAAGCAGTTGGAGACAAGATCATTTATGTAGTAGTGACAAGGAAAAGGCTTATGCATAGCTTGCTTAACAACCACAACTGGAAATACAATCACAGTCTTTGAACAACACAGGAGTTAAACTAGACATCGTGACTGCTTCATTCAATGACCATGAACCCAGCATTCTCAGTTACAGTTGTTAAGCAAACTTACAGATCATTTAGCAAATGCCCAGAGCTAAAATTCTTCTCTTCCTGCCTTCCTGTGCCTGCAGAGCCTCAAGATACAGAGAGGCAAGGATATAAGACACAGAGAAGCATGTTAGGTTTGGTCCAGTGGTTAAGGCACTGGGCCAGAAAGCAGGAGACGGTAAATTCTTTTTAAAAAAAAAATATTTAATTTATACATTTATATTTTCTTTACAGTACTTTACATTTTTTACATATCCATTGTATTTCTCTTAGCCCATATAACTATATCTATATACATTTTTACATAACGTTTTTCTCCACTAATTCCATTTACCATCCACTAATTCCATTTACCATCCATTTTTCTTCACTAATTCCATTTACCATCCACTAATTCCATTTACCATCCCATGTTAGCCATGAAAGCCAGTTGAGTGGCCTTGGGTCAGTCATTCTCTCTTAGCCAAACTCACCTCCCAGGATTGTTGTTGTGGAGAAAATATGAAGAATATATGTTGGGTATGTTCGCTACCCTACTTGCAAAAATGATAAAGGTATAAATAAATAAACCTTTTTCTCCCTATGAGGGAGTCTTCACAGCAAGTGAAGCAGCTTGTAATTTTCTTTGCTGATTCTCCCACTGACTTTCTAGACAAACCAGCAAAATAAATTACAAATAGCAATCACATGATTGCAGGGCATTTTAACAGGTTGTCAAGCACTCAGACTGCGATCACATGTCTACAGAAATGTGTGAGTTTTGCAATGGTCAGGAGTGCTTTACGAGCCATAAATCATGCTTTCCAAGGCTGTTGTTAATTCAAGAGGTTGTTAAGCAACCAGTCACTAAGCAAGGTCTATCTGTATTCTGTCTGTTAGCATTATCTGTTCAAGGGCACATATTTCTATGGTTGCTTTGCTGGTAGTGTTTAACTAGTCAACATATTGTATGCCCACTTCCTAATAACAAGAGCAGTTCAACTGTGGAAACAGTGATTTAGAGACACAGTAAACTTCCCTTTATTGAATTTGCTATCTTTGGAACACCTTTGGAAAGATAGTACAGTGTTATGAAGACAGCACAGCTTTACAAAGTCTCAGGGAGCCATGTGTACTGTCAGAAATATCCTCCGGAGAAGTTGGCTCAGGAAAGGAAACAGCAAAAGGCGAAAACTCTGTGCAATGAATTAGAAGACAAGGCAGTTGGGCAAACAAATATTGTATTTTTTGAACAATAAGCACCTACATTTTGGGGAGGAAAACAAGGAAAAAAATCTGCCTCCCAGCAATTTGCCTCCTTGCAGCAAATAGCAAATAGCCTGGTCAGCTTCAACACAGCCTGATTTAGCATGAGCAGCTGATTGGCAGTTAGATCTGCCTCCTGGAATTTTCAGCCTCCATGTGCCCCATTTTTGGCCCGTTCCAGGCGGAGGGAATAGGAATTGGCCAAAAATGGAACACACAGAGGTTGAAAATGGTACATGCAGAGGCGGCGATAGGTGGCGGCAACGATGGACAACGGTAGTGTATTCTGGGAAGCAGATCCAAACGCCCATCAGCTGCTCATGCTAAATCAGGCTGTGCTATAGCTGACCAGGCTATTTGCTATTTGCTGCAAGGAGGTAAATTGCTGGGAGGAAGAGGCCGAAGGGTGGGGGTCAGAGGGTGGGCAGGGCTTCAACAACATTCGCTGTATAAGACACACAGACATAAAAATATGGTACTTCATAATGCTTGCTGGTGAGTTGGGCTGGCCCGGGGAGCACGTGAATGCTTGTTGATATTTGCTAAGAATACCACGTGGTTCTGGGGAGAAAAGGTAATTGGTGAATGATTGTTGGTGCTTGTTGGGGTGGACTGGGGTGGTCGAAGTTTCCCAGACAATGGTAAGTAGCCCCAGAGCTGCACAAGAGAAGCTGCAGAGTGGCCAAAAGAGTAGGCGGGTGGGGGGAATTGGAGACAGTCATTACTTTAATGAGACTTGGGGAGGGATCATATCTGGAATGGTTTGAATTGGTATGGTTACTCACTTAATGACCCATAATTCTCAGGTGACAATTGCAATGGGGAATG